GCCTTAGAACAGGGCTACTCAACTATGGAAGCCCCAGGGACCACAATGATACTCATAGCACATACCAAGGGCCTCAACTGAAGTGTGGTTGCATATATATATATTTGCATGTGCAAATATATGCAGATAGCTTCTTTCACACTGACAGCCAGGAGTACAAAGGTGAAGGCGAGACGACACAGCACCCGGGCCCCGTTTAAGTCAGTTCTGCTGATACTGATAAAATGCAACATTGACCCACTTCCACCCATAAGGCAGCACTTTGAGCAACGACAGGCCAGGAATTGAACTAACACGCATCTCTATATTGATTACTTTTTTGTTTTGGCTCCCACCTGTGGGCCACATGTTGAGCCCCGAATAAACCCAAACTGCACCGTGGGCCGCAAACGGGCCACGGGCTGTGTGTTGAGTAGCCCTGCCTTACAAGGTAAGGGTATTTAAGAACAAGAAAGTTAGGGGGCTGCTGACACTTAGTCAGTAATCCTTGTTCAGAGTCCTAAAGGTTGTTTTTAAAGTAACTAGCTTCTGTATTAAATAAAAAGATGTTATACAATGCTACTCAACTCTTCTAATAAGTTTATTAGACTAATGGTGTATAATGGCAATACACTAATATACTTCAAAGAGCAACTATGGTTACATTGCTTTGAGTATTAAACTGCATTTTAAACTGATGATGTGTGTCCATCTTAAATCAGTTTTCTGTGCAGGTTCAGTCCACATAAGTTTTGGCTATACCAGATGAGGTTTTTGTGCTGCAATATAGAGTTTAGGAAGAAGAATCTCAAATGCAGAGTATTTTAAATGTAGAGCTAATGCAACATACCTTAATTAAAAAAACCTTGAAAATTAACTGACCTCCAATTTATGTTTCTTCAAATACCCTTGGCATATTGTGCTATTTAGAGGTTTCCACTTATAATTTAGTATTAATTAGCTGAGTCACACTCCCTTAGGGCAGGAAAAACTATTTTCCATATATTTAACAGTCTTATTTTAGGTCTCCTTGATATCACTTTATAGCAGAAGTATGAGGGATAATCTGATCAGTGAGGCTTAAAAAGTGGAAAATATCCTAGCAGTCTAATACTGAAGTCCCAAGAGTAAACTGAAGGATTTAAAATGATGCCTCTTTGCTTATAGGGTAAGATCTCAACCGTGACCTAGGAAAAACTATCATTTGGCCTTCCATATACAAACTCAGGAATTCACCATTGCCTCACTTATCTATTAATTGAGCTGCCCATACTTTCAAGAAGGACATAAGCTATATAAAACTTCATAGTTTCAGCTTTCTACTTCAGACACACTAACCTGTTGAGAGCATTACACATCTCTATGGTGACCAGAACAGAAAGTGCCATTGTCATTGGATATGGTGACTCAAAGACCACACAGTCTACATCTGTGAAATCTGGGTTGTCATCACTGCACTGCAGGAAGTGACTCTACAATAGAATAAAGCATGCACTTCATTATTTCAATGATGATTACTTATTTACAAACAAATAAAAGTAGAATAGTGTAACAGTCCAGCAACTAGGATTATAAAAGCCTGTGTCTAGAGAGGCCAACATCAGGAAGAATTACTTTTGACTACTTCATCTTTGATTTAAACAATCCACATGAAAATTTGATATGTATAGAAATATGGTCCTTTGAAAACAGTTTAAAGAAAGTATTTGATATTCTATTAACCCTGAATAAGCAGGATTATGTAATGCAAGTAAAAATGGTCCTCCTGAAGCTGTTTAATTATTTTAATATTGGAGATTGCCTATCTCCTAGAACTGGAAGGAACCTTGAAAGGTCATTGAGTCCAGTCCCCTGCCTTCACAGCAGGACCAAATACCATCCCTGACAAATTTTTGCCCCAAATCCCTAAATGGCCTCCACAAGGATGGAACTCACAACCCTGGGTTTAGCAGGCCAATGCTCAAACCACTGAGCTATCCCTCCCCCTCATGTTCTTTGAAATGAAAATTTAGAGCACACAGTAAGTACCAACATACTATATTACACTTAGTAGGAGTTTATATATTTTTGCAGACTTTCTAAAGCAAATTAAACTGAATAATACCAGCTGGTAATAGGTAACTCTTGGGCCACCATCAGCAGCAATGAACCACCAAGCAGCAGCACCCACTGTCGCAGCTCCAACATAACCTTAAAGAAAAAAAGACGCAGTTTGATTTTCTATATCATGAATAGTATGCATGACACTGTCTCGCTAAACTCATTTGAACTTCCTTTACCACCAGTTGGGCACACATATATAATGTGACCATTGCCCATTTCCTGTAGAAGGAATCTGCTTTTAAATTGCCAAGTCACCATAATTGGAATCTGTCCAACTGTAAAGATTTTTTATTGTTATTTGGGGGCATACAGAGAATTCCACCATGGCCATGTGGCCCTGGAAAGGGATCAGTAAACAGTTAAATCTATTTAGCAAAAAATAAATCCTAACTTTTCACTTTCCAATAAAAGTATGAATAAACTAACTGTTCTGCAGAGACAAAGTGCAAATATGAATGTGCTGCAGAACAGTTTGGTTAGAGATTCATGACAGATTGGGCCAAAACAATTATAATTTGCTGATTAAAAGAAGGTTCTAGATATCAGGTCTGCTCCAGCTCTGGCTTCATCAACAGGTATCTTGAATTTCTCAACCTCTGCAGATAGCTTAGTGGCAATACCAACATGTCTTCAGCTGGAAGATGGTATACGGGGATAAGTTGGGATGGGTCACAGGAAGGGGAAGTGAATGTTGTAGGAGAGGAGAGAGTGTGTGTTACTGGGTGGAAAAAAGCATTCTGGATAGAGAACTCAAATTTAGCTTGAGCACACATGCCTACTGTGGGGTTCCTCCTTGTGAAGCATGTAGCACTGGGCACTGCCATAGACTGGTATTGGACTAGATGGACTTCAGGTCTGATCCAATATAACAACAATTCCTACATTCTGAGATTAGAGCAGTGTTTCTCAAAGTGGTCCGCAGATCCACTCTGAGCAACCTGCTAACTGGACGCTGCAGTGTGTTTATTTACCGACTCTGCAGCCACAGAGCCTTGCGGCTCCCCCCGCAGCCAAGGGGAGCCACGGGAAGTGGTATGGATCGCGCCACTGCTTCCCACAGCTCCCCTTGGCTGCAAACAGCGAACCGGAGCTGCGAGGCTCCATGGCTGCGGAGCCAGTAAATAAACACGCTAGAGTGGCCAGTTAGCAGGTTGCTCAGAGTAGCTCTGCGGAGCACTTTGAGAAACACTGGATTAGATTATAAAAAGGTTTAAGTTAGAAATGGCAATAAAACACTGATGTGACAATGTTAAGGAGTCCATACACGCATTGCTTTGCCTGATACTGAGAAAATTTAGGCCACGTCTTCACTACACAAAAGATCGACACTGCTGTGGTTGATCTTCTGGAGTTCGATTTAGCAGGTCTAGCAAAGACCTACTAAACAACACTCAGAGGGCACCCCTGTTGGTACTCTTGCTCCTTGCAAAGAGTAAGGGAAGGTGACGGGAGCGTTTTCTCCCATCAACCTCCTGCTGTGGAGACGGTGCGGAAACTCAAATTAAGGTATGTCAACTCCAGCTACATAATTAACAGAGCTGGAGTTGCATATCTTAATTTGACCTTCTCCTGTAAGGTAGACCTGGCCTTAAAACGAGAGCACTATGACTACAGGAGGTGTACCGAAAGTACTGGTACATCTATTACCTAAACTGATGCAACTATGAAAAGTGGCAGTCTTGGAACCAAGATTAAACATGTGTGCCAGTTCAGCAGAACACTGTGCTAGCCTTCAAGACTAAAACATAACTGAAGACCTTATAAGTGACTTCTAACTCTAGTTCCTTTAAAAGTCATTCTACATACACAGTTACAAATAAAAGGTAGTAAGCTACTCACCTCCAATAGCAAGGTAACGGAAGAAGAGCCACCCACTGATCAGGGGCTCTTTAGGATTACGGGGCGGCTTATCCATGATGTCTAAATCAGGAGGATTGAAGCCCAGAGCAGTGGCAGGGAGACCATCTGTTACAAGGTTTACCCATAACAGCTGGACAGGTATCAAAGCTTCAGGAAAACCCAGAGCAGCAGTCAAGAAGATACTACAAAAAGAACATGGACAAAATTGCCCTTGGCGATGTTAACTCAAACATATTATAAGTAAACTAATAATAGATTAGTAGTAAAACTCTGTGCCTTAGTAACTGGCAAGGGAAATTTATGCTGAGTCTCATTGCAATATCTATTTAATATCGGAAGCTAAATATTCATGTTGAGACTGCTAGGAACGTACATGCCATTTTATAGCCAACAACAACAACCTTTAAAGCTCTGAAGTAGGTGCATTTTTTTTGATGGACTGAAGAACTGAGGAGTTTTATTGCTCTTTACTGGAATAACCCTCACAAAAGCATTAGCCTGCTTTCTGGAGTGCTTGAAGGATATTGCAATTCAAAGGCCATAGTTTGGTAGAAGCATGATAAAAACAAATAGACCTGATGGAGCATTAAACACCAGGTTTCACCTAGTGGAGCCACTTTTTGAAGCCATCTATAAAAAGAGGCTTGCAAACTCCTCCCTAAAAGCCTGCAACTGTTCTAGAATTACAGTACTTCTGCAACTGAGGGGCAAGGTTCCATTGAATGGTATATCCTCCAGTTCAGGGGTCAACAACCTTCCATACACAGTACATCAGGGTAATCTTCTGGCAGGCTACAAGACATTTTGATTACACTTACTGTCCACAGGCACGGTCCGTGCAGCTCCCATTGGCTGGGAACAGCAAACCACATC